CTTAAAGCTTGTAACCTTGCTGAACTTAGTTCTAATAGTTTTATAGTGAATGCCTCTGCTTTTGAAAGTGCTTATTAAAAGTATAAGTCAACATTTGACCCTATTTTGCACAAACTATTTTGTAAGTATGTATGCTCCATTCTCCATAGTGTGAAAATCTAGTCTTAAGCTTTTATATAATTTTATAAACCATGAAGATTCTATCTTAAGCTTCTTTAGGGAAGTTTACCTGCACAGTTTTGAGTAATGGTTGTAGTAACAGTAGTAATTAACAACTAACATTTTGTGTGTGCTTATTTTGTTCAGGCTCTCTGCCTAGCATGTATTATTTCATATTATCTTCACAATAACCCTATGGATGATAAAACTGAGGCTTAATGTAATGAGCAACATGCCTAAGATCAATAAAGCTAGTAAGTGGCAAAGCTGGGATTTGAAACTAAGACAATTCATTCTAGAATCTCCATTCTTAACTCGTATCCTATAGAGATCACTCATAGAACATTTAGTATATGTATATACAGTGATACTTAATGAGTGCCGAGTCATTTGTCTGACAATCTCAGCTACCTGGAATAAAACCAGTAACCAATAAATAATAAAAATAATTATTAGAAAGCCCATGCACTAAAGTACAATTTTGTTACTCAAAAGATAACCCTCAACAGTTCGTTTTTGCTTTGCTTGTGCTATCTTAGATAATGCATTAGAATGAATAAGAAGAAGAGATTGACAAAAGCAGACCCTCTAACAACAATAAATCCTGTTAAAAAACATATAGCAGGGCCATGAGTGTCCTATATTATTTGTAGATTATAGCATAGTATCTCCATTAGTTCCTGAGGGCATAACTATGCAACATAGCAGAAACATTTGAGTTATTCAAAATAAATAAGATGTTTGTGTTCCATTTAGAAAGATAGAATGCTTTTTAAGCATAATGCCTAATTTGCTGTCTAAAATACCTTATTTTTTAAAAATATAAGCTTTAATTATCGAGAAAAATATATGTACATGAGACATACTTTTGTAATGCTATGCAAATATGTCTTGACTGTGATAGTGATATATCAGTTTTATGTTGCTTTGCACAGTTAAATAAACCTCAGTTATGTATTTTCTATTTAGTTCTTAGAAGTTACCCATTTAGGCAAAAATTTGACAATCTTTTGAATTATCTCTTGGGTGGATGACATCAGCTTTACACACATTGACAATCAGTGACTTCCCTGGCCATGATCCAATATGCAGCCATTCTCATGTTTTCAACATAGAAAAAAGATATCTTGTTGATACTTAAGTGTTAAAATGAGTTTATTTTGCAGAAACTGCTTATAAACCAAATGTTTTCTATACATTGTCTTATGTATCTCCTCCTCAATATGTCATAATTAAAATATTTTGGGCTTTTGCTTAGACATTCTAACTAATGGTATGTTTTCAGTTTGATGTCAGCTGTGGATGCAATTTTTGAAAGGGAAGGTAAAGATAAATTAGGCAAGGGAATGCTTTGACTTTTAGCCCTATTATTAATAAATTAAAATTTGTAGGCCAGCCCCGTATACAATTCTCCTGGCTTTGTAAATTTTAATTGAGTTAACCTTAGTTATGTTTCCTTGTCTTAGATAATAAATCTTGAAGAATGGAGAGAGAATTAAGTACATATTTCTTATACACTCAAATATAATTACATTATGTTTAAGAAAACTAATGAAGCAATTCATTTATCATGGTTTTTTTTATTAAAAAAAGTAATAG